CAGTGATATTACTGTACAGTCCACAACCATGTCTTAAAATGTGTGTGTGTGTATATATATATACACACACACACACACAACTACTTACTACTTGTACTACTATTGCTACTTTGCGGTTTTTCACTTATCATTGAGCTTCAGGGTACGGATCCCCCGTGATAAACAAGGGACTACTGTATATATATTTTAAGGCTTTATAAACCCTTGCCACACTTTTGTAATGTTCTAAACTCTTAAACCTATGTAATTTTAACAACATATCTACTGTATGTACTGTACAGTACTGCACAATTTTACTCACCAGCTCTGCAAAACAGCAGCTCGGTTCCAGTCGGGCTCAGTTCCGGTTCAGCAGACCTACCCTGCAGCGATGAAGCCCACCACCCCCGTCCAGGTTGATATTTGCGTGGATAGAGTTTCAGGATTATTTGAGACTTTCCTGCCAGTTCTTTGAGCTTAATAGATCCATCGTTACTTCTGACTTTGTGTTGCAAAACTTTCCCTCCATTTCAGCAGAAAGCAGCGGGCGAAAGCACTGTTGGCTTCTGGGTAGTGTAGTTCTTTAGACATGTGTTACATTGTAGGCTTATTGAAAGAAAACGAGAAAATGGCGTCGCCTGTCAGAAGTTGTTTTTTTCATTAACTTTTTTTATCCCGTACCGTTGTGAGTAATATTAAAGTTGACAATTGTTGAAAAACTGTGAAAGAGCGAGTCTGCAAAAGTTGAACCGTGAAGTAACGAGGGACTATTGGACACTAGTGTATTGTGACAATAAGACTGTGGTAAAAATGGTATCAGCTTTGAACAGTGTTCAACAAAAATGTCAAAATAAGACCCAAAATATTACTGAACATATTTGACCCAAAGTACATAAGCAGGTTATTTTCCATTTTAAAGTTTGTAAACAATGTATTTTTTCTACAATGTTTTAACATATACTTGTTTTATGTGCCAGAAAAGGCAAAAAAAAAAAAAAGTTTTATCGAGTTAATTGTTAACTTTTCTGTTTCACATTAACAGTCAAAGGGATGCTTTTATTAAAGCTCCTGGTTAGGAATTCAATTTTTTATGTGTTTATATTAGAAATTGATAAACATTTGTATGACAGTGAAATGTTTGCATTTGTCTTGTATTTGTGCCTTGTTAAAGTAATAGTTCAGATCTTTTTAAAGATGTCTTTTGCAGAAAAGACATGAACAAATAATATCTTACCTGTTGTAAATACAATAGCTCTTTGGATAACGTCAGTTCAGAGAAATTTAGTTTTGATCAAATTTGACAAGAATGGTGTCAAAACTAAAGAGGATTGCTGCCATTTAAAAACATTTTAATTGTATACAGGGGCTGGTCATAAAATTTGAATATCATGAAAAAGTTTATTTCAGTAATTGCATTCAAAAAGTGAAACTTGTGTATTATATTCATTACACACAGACTGATATATTTAAAATGTTTATTTTAACATTGATAATTACAACTGACAACTAATGAAAACCCAAATTCAGTATTTCAGAAAATTAGAATATTAAGACCAATTAATAAAATGTATTTTTTAGAAATGTTGGCAAACAGAAAAGTATGAGCATGTACAGCACTCAATACTTAGTTGTTGCTCCTTTTGCCTGGATTACTGCATCAATGTGGCGTGGCATGGAGTCGATCAGTCTGTGTCACTGCTCAGGTGTCATGAGAGCCCAGGTTGATCTGATAGTGGCCTTCAGCTCTTCTGAATTGTTGGGTCTGGTGTATCACGTCGTCCTCTTCACAATACATCACAGATTTTATATGGGGTTAAGGTCAGTCAAGTTTGCTGGCCAATTAAGAACAGGGATACCACAGTCCTTAAACCAGGTACTGGTAGCTTTGGCACTGTGTGCAGGTGCCAAGTCCTGTTGGAAAATGAAATCTGTCTCCATAAAGTTTGTCAGCAGCAGGAAGAATGAAAACTTGGTAGACGGCTGCGTTGACCTTGGACCTCAGAAAACACAGTGGACGAACAACAACAGATGCTCCCGTCCCAAGCCATCACAGACTGTGGAAACTTGACACTGGTTCTCAAGCAACGTGGATTCTGTGCCTCTCCTCTCTTCCTTCAGACTCTGGGACCTTGATTTCCAAAAGAAATACAAAATTTACTTTCATCAGAGAACATAACTTTAGACCACTCAGCAGCAGTCCAGTCCTTTTTGTCTTTAGTCCAGGCGAGATGCTTCTGACGCTGTCTCTTGTTCAAGAGTGGCTTGACAAAAGTAATGTGACAGCTGAAACCCATGTCTTGCATACGTCTGTGCGTTGTGGTTCTTGATGCACTGACTCCAGCTGCAGTCCACTCTTTGTGAATCTCTCCCACATTTTGGAATGGGTTTTGTTTCACAATCCTCTCCAGGGTGTGGTTATCCCTATTGCTTGTACACTTTTGTCCTAACACATCTTTCCCTTTCCTTTGTCTCTCTATTAATGTGCTTGGACACAGAGCTCTGTGAACAGCCAGCCTCTTTAACAATGACCTTTTGTGTCTTGCCCTCCTTGTACAAGGTGTCAGTGGTTGTCTTTGGACAACTGTCAAGTCAGCAGTCTTGCCCATGATTGTGTGACCTATAGAACTAAACTCAGAGACCATTTAAAGGCCTTTGCATGTGTTTTGAGGTAATTAGCTGATTATAGAGTGTGGCACCAGGTGTCCAATATTGATCTTTCACAATATTCTAATTTTCTGAGATACTGAATTTGAGGTTTTCATTAGTTTGTCAGTTATAATCATCAATATTAAAAGAAAAACATTTGAAATATATCAGTCTGTGTAATGAATGAATATAATATACAAGTTTCACTTTTTGAATGGAATTACTGAAATCAACTTTTTCATGACAATGAGTAATATAATGCCTAATGTTTTGAACTATTGCTTTCAATTCAGTAACAACCAGACCTCAGATGTTTTTATTAACAATACAGTTTTTGAATTGAGTTTTTGTTTTTGTTCAATTCAGATAAGACAAATTCCATATCTGACATTACAATGGAAAAACAAAAACTCAGACACCTTTATATAAAACAATCAAATCGCTTTATTTATCGTTTTCATTGCAGAGGTCAAAATTTACCTCAGCACTTCACAACAGTATTAAATAAAATTGTGGATTTTCAGTGTTCTGCTTAAAAAAAATAGTCTTCAGAATACTCAAATTTGCAGTGCAGAGAAATCACCACACGTCATGAATCAAAAACTACTAAATGCCCATATCTACTATTTACATTAGATTAAAAAACAAAATATATTTCGACCTATAAAACTCAAATTTAAGACAAAACCTGACATCTGATCCTCATTTGTGAAGTCTCATCTCACCGCTGAGACCTAAAACAAGCATCAGAAACAACCAACACTGACCCTCTTGAAGTTCACCTAAAAAGATAATACAATAATACAATATTTCATATTTATGGTCTCTAGATCCCAGCTTTGTCCTGACATCTACAAGTGCAAAAACACTTTTTAACCTGAAAACTACAAAACCAGAGAGCAGCAACGTAACGTAGACAAGTGCAAATTGTTCCAGTTAATAATGTAATACCTGATGGCAGAAAAAAAAATTCAAAGTTCAAAAATATTCAACAAACGGCACACCTTAAATTGTGCAGTATGTAAATTATAACCAAGGCACTGAGAGAAACACCATCAGCTTACAAATGCAGATTATAAATGTTTTTATAAGAATTAAAACCAAACCTGTCGGTGACGTAAAGCTTTCCGCTGTGCACACGTCTGTCGATGAATGTTTCAGCTGCTGACGAGAGGCCGTGATGGATTTATAGTCCTGCAGCATCTGAGCGAGCTTTAGTTTAGTTTTTGAAGGCTCCACAGCGACTAGCTCGACATATGAAATCTTTGAGCAGATTGCCGTCAGTCTGCCAGAAGGCAGCAGTCTGAGTCACCTGGGTCAGGTGGTTCACACAGAACTTGAAGCAGAACTCCTCCAAGTCCTGAATGACAGAGAGAGAAAATCACTGGAGCGCCTCACTAAGGCCAAACATTCTGCAGGATATTAAAGACTTAACGATCAAATATCCCCAACATTTTATCTCGGTAGAACAAAATAAACGTATCACCTTGGTGTTAACTTTTTAATGCAAATAAAGTGAAAGCATGGAGATTTTTAAGCGATATGTCAAATAGTTAAATAGTTAATCAGCCATTTTCTCCGCACTGTGCTATAGCAAATTTTTTTCAACGTTCTTTATCGTCATTTGCATCACATGTGGTGCATGTGGTGTACTCAAAGTCCCAGTTACACCCAAAAATAGTGATAATATAAAGCAGTGGTCCCCAACCTTTATTGCGCCACGGACCGGTTTGATGTCTGACAATATTTGGTCTGGGGGTCCTCCCCAACAGAATTTTGAATAAAGTAGATGTCATTTCCTGCATTCTGGTGCATTTTACAAACATTTCAAACATTTTTCGCTTCAAATACTCAGACTGCACGACACACAGCTTCATGAGCTGAGATCAGTCTGTTTCATCAGTTCGGTGAAAGTTCAGAGAACTCCTGCAGTGATTCACACATCAGATTGTTCATAAAAGCACAGGAACTTATGCCTAGTGCAAAACGTTTAATTATATTTTTGTGTTTTATAATAAAATTATCCATGACTTTGAACTTTAAGGGGCAGATTTTTTTGAGCAGAAGCAAAAATGTGAAGCAACAGCTCTGATGTGATATTAGGAAGCTTGTTAAAATTATAGTTTTATTTAGTTATAATTTTATAGTCGATCTTTGTCAGGCGGGTTGAAAAATATGCAGTGTAATCCTTCAGAATGCACAGATACGGCTGCACACCTCCACCTGTCTGCTCCACTCCATGTAGCTGAATTGTTTTGTTCTTCACCAGTATTGGAGAACTGATGTGCACATGCCCCGCAGAAACCGAAACTAACCATTTGTGTATGTTGACCTGCATCAAGATTGAGTCATAGACTGATGTGGTAGAGAGAATCCGGTGATTTTTCAAAATAATTTTTTTTTTCTCCCCTTCTGTGCGACCCAGTACCCATTGACCCACAGACCGGTATCAGTCCGCAGCCCAGGGATTGAGGACCACTGATATAAAGTATTAAAAAAAACAGTATACAAGGATCTAAGATATACACTAAACAATAAAATTATACGATGTATTAAAAGCAGCCTGAACATGAGTCTGTAGTGAGCAGATGCGTAAGAACTCAGCAGCACAGATAAAGTGTTCAATCTCCAACTAAAGTGGAATTACAGTGATTTTCCTGGTTATGCATTTATGAGTAACAGCTTCAGGGTAGAAGCTGTTCCTCAGTCTAGTGGTTCTACACTTAATGCTCCTCAACCTCCTTCCTGAGGGGAGTGGGGCAAAAAAGTGTGTGTGCTGGGTGAGTGGGGTCCTTCATGATGCAGGTGGCCTCTTCCTGCATCTTGAGGTGTAGATGTCTGTGATGGTGGGGAGACTGACTCCAACAGTCTTCTGTGCAGCCTTCACCACTCTCTGCAAAGCTTTTCTTTATGCAGCTGTGCAGCCTCCATGCCACATGTTGATGCTGGAGCACAGGATGCTCTCCACTGCACACCTGTAGAAGGAGGTGAGGACTGAGCTTTCCCTTCCACAGGTGTGCAGTGGAGAGCGACCTGTGCTCTAGCATCAACGTATGGCACGATCACAGAACATCGCTTCATAAAAGACCAGACTATCCCTTTAAGACATTGCTCTTTGCTCAAATTAAAACCCTGAAGGAGTCTTTAATAACCAGGATTCATTGGCACTTGTCCAGCTGTCATGGTATCTAGTCAGTCTAGTCAACTCTGTGTGTCAGTCTTGTCTGCATGGAGGGGCTGACAGAGAAGACAGGGAGGGGGGTGAACCTTTTAAGATGCAAAGTTCAAATTAAAACTTTTCTTCACTGTTAGCAAATTCTGCTGTTAATAAAAAATAATAGTAGAAGCTCACTAACATAACTTCAACTTACAGAAGGATTATTGAAAATCCTTATTTCGATTACTGGATCGATGATTGGATTAGGATTATTGAAAATCCAAAATACGGAAGGATTGTTGAATAACTTCAACAACATTTTAATAAGCGTCACCTTTACTTTCTAACTTTGACGTTATGACCAAAACAGCTTTAAATGAGTACATTTGATGCAACATCTGTTGAAGATGAAGCACTTCTTATAGAAAGTCAATTATTTTATAATTCTATTAAAGAGTTAAACTGCAGACTTTATTAAAATAAAATCTTAAAATTTCAGATCTGTGCTTTATGCAAGCTCAAATATTCAGACTAAATTTAGCAGCAGCACACCGATATCTATCTATCCTTAATTACCATATTTTTCGCCGTATAAATCACAATTTTTTACATAAATTTGCACGCCCTGTGACTTATACACTGAAGCGACTAATATAAGTTTTTCCTCCCATATTTATAATCCAATTTTTGGCAGAGATTTGACAATTTCATTTATTCTGACGTGGAGAGCCCTTGAGCAATATGGCAAGCCAAGTGTCTCATTAATAGGTAAAAGTTGCTATTAATGAGACACATGGCTTGCCATACAAGCCACCTTCGTCTCGCTCCGGAACTCCTGGAACAAACGTCAAATCAGCTGCATTTCGCCGCGCTGCCCAGGTGAAATGCAGTTGATTTGACCATTAAAGTTAATTTATTTAGGAAAATTTCAACTGAGACACACCTTTATTATAATGTCGAGCAAACAAATAATTGTTTTTAAGTGGTTATCATGTTAAATTCTTGTTAAAGTCCTCCTGTGTGCGCTCCTGCGGCCACTATTTTGGCAGCCAATCAATTTTTGGCTCAACACTGGCCCATGTTTCCAGGTAGTCAGCGGTGACACATAAACATGACACATAATAGATGCGATTTATATGGCGAAGCAACTTATTTATGGGTTTTTCCACTTTATTAAGACGTTGTTGGACTGACGCGACTTGAACGGCGGAACATACGGTAAGCGTTGCTGTCACATTGTAACTTGCAATAAACTAACATAATTTTGGTCACATTTTATTATTTATTAAATTTTCCTGTGGAAACTTTTGAAAAAGAGAAGAGCCTGAATAAAATAAAACTGAAGAACAACACTGGACCCATAGAAGCTGACAGAATGTTATCTATTTAAGTTGGCACCCTAATAACTATCTGATTCCACAGATTACATTTGCAACGAGCCACCCACACTTTTACACGGTGAACACACACAAAACTAAAACGTTATTCACTGTGTGAAACGTGCACAGAAAGTGTTCGAAGCTGGTCGACTGAAGGCGAGGACTGACCTCGGCGTCGTAGCGCACCGCGGCGGACAGTAGGGAGAAGGCGTTCTCCACCATGATTCCCCTCTTGATGAGGTGTTGACACAGACGCTTCAGCCGGTTCTCACAGTACGACGTGGCCAGATCCAGCAGCCCTGAGGCCCCACAGACAGGATGAGCACCTCACAATTAAATACATGTCAGCAGAAGACGCTCGGCTTACCGATAGCATCTTCAGGCGGCAGCTCCACATCATCTGTGTAGAGGAACTCGAGGAAGGAGCGGTAGACCGGATAGGAGAACTGCTCGATTTCAATCACCTCCTTCATGTCTTCGTTCCAGTGAGCCTGGAACATTGATCTGAAGTGGTCACACCTGTGCAGCAAAGGGGTTGTATTTACACGCGAGCTCAACTTCACAGGATCAGTTAAACGTCTGGGAGGTGAAAGCCTGACCGGATCTTGAGGACTGCTTTGTGGACATAGATGTATTTGCCATCAACACAGAACTTCAGGTCCGCAGTCTCGGGGTTGTCAAACTCCCGCTTCAGAGACTGAGCCACAGTCAAGAAGTCGTCGCGCTCTGGAGGGAGAACACATCACATTTTGACAACAAACACAAAAAGACTAAGAAATGTTCAATTTGCCTGAGTTTTCCAAAGCAGAGCCACTTTTCTCATGTTTAATGCTTCTGAGGAGGCTTCATCCCATAATAACAATGGTCTCCAGTGTTCCTCATAAAACCATACGTATGGTACTAATTAAAGTTTAATTTGAGTATTTCATGGAAAAACTGAATGCTAATTTAAAGTGAGAATCTGCAGCTTCTGAATTGCAGCTGTGTTTCGTCTGCATGCAAGGCTGCAGTTCAACACCCAGCTGTGGGAACATGTTCGTCCTAGAACCCCTTTCTACAACTAAATGTTCAAATGCTGCAAGGTTTAATATTCTGCTCCAATTTCAGGGTCACTGGATGTGCTGGCCAGCCATTCTTAAAGTAATGGTTCAAACCTTTTAATCTGTGTTTCGGGGGAAAGATTGCAAACGGCTAATATCTTATCTGTTGTAGATAGCTCTATAAATAATACAAGTTTGGAGAAATTGTTTAATTTTGACCAAGTGGATTGTTGTTGGTGTAAAACGACTTGTTTCACAAATGTTACTGCCGTTTATGAGAATAGTATTTTCCATTTGCAATAACAAATAACCAAACATTCTATGTTAATCACTGCGTAACAAAAACACAATGGAGTAAAGGATCTAAAACTGTGTTTGCATGGAGCTTTTTAAAAGTAAGGAGGCTGGAGTTCTGAGGAAGTGTGGTCTGGTCTCGGCTGGTAGCTCGTCTTGGACTGAAACTACCGTAATTTCCGGACTATAAGCCGCTACTTTTTTCTACACACTTTGAACACAGCAGCTTATATAATGCTGCGGCTAATTTATAGATTAAAAAATAAATAAATTCTGACAGGCTAACGAGTTTCACGGCGCCAAAACATTTAGCCTCGTCAAACCCAGGCGCTCACAGAGCTGCTCGATACACGTCTCTCATGGGAAGTGGGTCCTCGTGACTCATTGGCTAAGTTTACATGGACATAAGTAATCAGATTAAACGGCCATTCGGAATAAAAATGTGTCATGTAAATGCCCCATTCAGATTATTTTTTTGTTTATTCAACTCAATCAGAAAAAATTTGTAATCAGAATGAGATGGGTGGTTTATGCCGATTCATAATCCGAATGGTGTATATGTAAACACTTAATCTGTTCTTTTTTTTTTCCCCCCCGATTGTGGAAAACTGACCTGACTGCGCATGTGCGACCTATGTCTACCAGACATATTTCCACTTGGCTGTAGAAGGAAAACTAGTCGGTGAACAACAACATTTTACTAGAAACTTTGAAAGAGCTCAAAATGATGTGTATTACCTGTAGCTCAGTCAGGGAGTGCAGTAACGTCTCCACCGTCATTAAAACCTGTCACAGGTCCATTTTGGTGCTCAAGTATGTTTACGTTCATCACGGAAGTAAACCAGAAGTAGAACTTCTTCTTCTGTGGTTTTTTTTTTAAGGAGAGTTTACCACTCAGCATATGTCAGTACTTCTATTTCAGTCCGGTCAAAGAATTTTGTGCATGTAAACATAGCTAGTGAGACTACCTGTATAAACAAAGGTAAATAAACACAATGCAGCACAAGCTTGCGCAGGAGGAATACGAAGATAGTGATCAACGATTTCCTGGTATGCTACTATATATATATATATTTTTTTTTTAAACCAACCACGTTACAGGCACTGTTCAGAAACAAACATTTACTGTACCCACATGTATATGTTACTGGTATGTATTTAATCAAAAGGGGTTTTTTTGGGGTTTTTTTTATCTTACTGTGTAAATATGTTACAATGTGAACACCCACAGCTTATAAACAAGCGTGGCCTATAGATAAAATAGATTAGATTAGATTATTAATCTATTAATCAGATAGATAGGATAGATAGGATAGATAGAATTTTATATATATATTTTATATAGTATTTTTTTGCCATTAAACAAGTCCATTTAATTTCCTAAAATGTAGCCAGGTTTTTTTTTGTTTGTTTGTTTGTCTCCCCCCCCCCCCCCAACATGATCAGTGTTGTATTTAGAAAAATGGAACAGCAGGAAGTCTCAGGAGAATCTGGCATTACCTGACGGATCAGCCAGGAGCTGCTCAGATCTAAATAAATTTTCCGAGATGCGTTACTCAAAGGCTCAGACCAGACCAGACCAGAAGAGCCAGCCTTTGGATACGACCAGTTAAACAACATGTCACACCAATAAAACAAGTGGAGTAGCACTGAGCAACATGGCTGAAAAACTGACAGTGAGGCCATATCTGCCACGCTGTAATGGTTGTGACTACATTTCATGAACAATCATGTAAAATTTTGCTCGGATGAGAAACATTCAACGACAAACCCTACGAGATGAGTTTCCAGCCTACTTCTGTAACTTTCGAGTAAAACGTTTACAAACATTTTTGGATACATTAATGACTTGAAAAGCTTCCAGTTTGTGATTACATACACCCAGTTTTTAGTTTGTGAAAGCTGCTTTTCACATTGAAACAAAAATAAATCTTTGATGTTATTTTAATAAGCAATGACCGCTAACACTGGGAGGCAGTCACAGCCTCTCTTACCCATGGAAAGAAGTCGCCACATGACTGAGGGCGTGGCGAAGCACCCGAACACATCGTCTGTGCAGGTGAAGTGTGTGAGGTGAGGCATCACGATGCACTGGCCCCTGCAATGGCCCCACATGTACACCTGACCACTCTGGGTCTTGGCAGCTGTTGTGTGTGTGGAGTGACAGGCAGCGACTTCTACGATTCTGTTTGACACAGAAGAAGAGGAGGAGTGAGTCTGGTGCTGCAGCGACATGAGTCACACTGAGAGACTCACCTCTCTTTCTCAGCCATGATCTGAACCGGGCTCAGCTGGTTGCTCTTGTTACCGGTGCCCAACTGTCCGTAAGTGTTGGCACCCCAGGCGTAAAGCAACCCCTCGTCTGTCAGTGCCAGAGAGTGGGCGTAGCCCGAGACGATCTGGGACAAGAAAACCAACAGAAAAACTTTAGGTGTGAAAAACAACTGATTCGACTTTTACACCATATTTTTTCCACTGTCGTCCTAAAAAGACAGTCTGGAAGGAAAAGTATTGAAAGCCTGTTATCAAAAGGCAGGCAACAGGGATCTTTGTGTTTGTTAGCAAAATATTTATGATACCAGACAGATTATATAAACTTTCAGAAAGTAATCGTTAGACTTACATCTACAAGTGATTAATTTTTGGAGTGAACCCAGTTCAATATGGCTCCTACAAATAACTGATTGGCAAATAAAAGTAGCTATAACTGTCTGACAGATTCTTCTTTCAGCTTTTCCCTCTTCAGGTGTCTTCACAGCGAGTCATCCTCATCCATCTCACTCTGTCCTCACTCCAACTACCTCCATGTCCTCTCCAACTCCATACATCTCCTCTTTGTCTTTTTCCTGGCAGCTGCATTTCTAACATCCTTCTACCAATATACCCACTGTCCCTCCTCTGGACATGTCCAAACCATCTCAGTCTGGTCTCTCTAACTTTATCTCCCAGTTGTTCAACCTGTGCTGTACCTCTGATGATCTCATTCCTAATCTTATCCATCCTTGTCACTCCTGAGAAGAACCTCAACATCTTCATTTCTGCCACTTCCAGTTCTTTCTCCTGTCTTTTTGTCCAAGTCTCTGTCTCCAGACCATACAACATACTGGTCTCACCACTGTCTTGTAAACTTTTCCATTGAACTTTGTTGCTCACAAATCACTCCTGATACTTCTCTCCATCCACTCCGTCCTGCCTGGACTCGTTTTTTTCACCTCTTTACCACACTCCCCATTTTCCTGGACAATGGACCACAAGTACTTGAAGTCCTGCACCTTTGTGACCTCTGCTCCTTGTAGCCTCACTGTTCCACCAGCCTCCCTCTCATTCACACACATGTACAAGTGCTGGTCATAAAATTAGAATATCATGAAAAAGTTTATTTCAGTAATTCCATTCAAAAAGTGCAACTTGTTTATTATATTCATTCATTACACACAGACTGATATATTTCAAATGTTTATTTCTTTTAATGTTGATGATTATAACTGACAACTAATGAAAACCCCAATTTCAATATCTCAGAAGATTATTATGAAAAGGTTTGATATTGATGATGCATGTGTTTTGAGCTAATTAACTCAAAACACATGCAAATACCTTTAAATGGTCTCTCAGTCTAGTTCTATAGGTCACACAATCAAGTGGAAGACTGCTGACTTGCCAGTTGTCCAAAAGATGACCACTGACACCTTGCACAAGGAGGGCAAGACACAAAACTTCATTGCAAAAAATGCTGGCTGTTCACAGAGCTCTGTGTCCAAGCACATTAATAGAGAGACAAAGGAAAGGGAAAGATGTGGTAGAAAAAAAGTGTACAAGCAATAGGGATAACCACACCCTGGAGGATTGTGAAACAAAACCCATTCCAAAATGTGGGAGAGATTCACAAAGAGTGGACTGCAGCTGGAGTCAGTGCATCAAGAACCACCACGCACAGACGTATGCAAGACATGGGTTTCAGCTGTCACATTACTTGTGTCAAGCCGCTCTTGAACAGGAGACAGCGTCAGAAGCGTCTCGCCTGGACTAAAGACAAAAAGGACTGGACTGCTGCTGAGTGGTCTAAAGTTATGTTCTCTGATGAAAGTAAAATTTGTATTTCTTTTGGAAATCAAGGTCCCAGAGTCTGGAGGAAGAGAGGAGAGGCACAGAATCCATGTTGCTTGAGGACCAGTGTCAAGTTTCCACAATCACTGATGGT